GATGGAGATGGGGGACCTCTGATGTGATGGGGGCACCTCTGATGTGATGGGGGGGGGACCTCTGATGTGATGGGGGGACCTCTGATGTGATGGGGGGACCTCTGATGTGACGGGGGGACCTCTGATGTGACGGGGGCACCCCTGATATGATGGAGGGACCTCTGATGTGATGGGGAGCTCTAAAGTGACAGAAGACTTCTGATGTGATGGGGGGACCACTGATGTGAATAGGGACACCTCTGATGTGACGGAGGGACCTCTGATGTGACGGGGGCACCCCTGATGTGATGGGGGGCACCTCTGATGTAATGGGGAGCTCTAAAGTGACAGAAGACTTCTGATGTGATGGGGGGGACCACTGATGTGAATAGGGGGACCTCTAATGTGATGGGGGGACCTCTAATGTGATGGGGGGACCTCTGATGTGATGGGGGGACCCTGATGTGATGGGGGACCTCTGATGTGATGGGGGACCTCTGATGTGATGGGGTGACCTCTGATGTGATGGATGGACCTCTGATGTGATGGATGGACCTCTGATGTTATGGGGAGCTCTAAAGTGACAGAAGACTTCTGATGTGATGGGGGGACCACTGATGTGATGGGGGGACACCTCTGATGTGATGGAGGGACCTCTGATGTGGGGGGGGGGGGGGGGGCACCTTTGATGTGATGGTGAGCTCTAAAGTGACAGAAGACTTCTGATGTGAATAGGGGGACCACTGATGTGAATAGGGGGACCTCTGATGTGATGGGGGGGACCACTGATGTGAATAGGGGGACCTCTGATGTGATGGGGAGCTCTAACGTGACAGGAGACCTCTGATGTGATGGGGGGACCACTGATGTGAATAGGGGGCACTGCTGATGTAATGAGGAGCTCTAAAGTGACAGGAGACCTCTGATGTGATGGGGGGACCACTGATGTGAATAGGGGGCACTGCTGATGTGATGGGGGGCACCTCTGATGTAATGAGGAGCTCTAAAGTGACAGGAGACCTCTGATGTGATGGGGGGCACTGCTGATGTGAATGGGGGGACCTCTGATGTAATGGGGAGCTCTAAAGTGACAGGAGACCTCTGATGTGATGGTTGACCTTTAATATGAAGGGGGGCTATGATGTGAAGTGGGAGGACCTTCAGGTCCAGGCGCCGACATCTTAACTAAGGAAAACGCATGCGCGAGCCACGCTTCGCTTTCTGAATGGTCGTGCAGTCTTTCGGACCTGTGATGTGTCCTAGAAGGCTGCAGGGGAAGGGGGCCCAAACTTTCATTCGAATCACCTAGGCAATCCGACCAGAAGTAGGAGCAGGTCAGAACCAGGTACCTGCTCTCCCCCCACTCCCTCCCAAAAAGTGCAAATTGTTAAAGGGGGGGAGGAATGCAAACACACACAGGTTGAACTGGATGGACTGGTGTCTTTTTTAACCTTACCAACTATGTAACAATGTAACTAAGGTGATTGAGTGCATTGTCCCAGGCTCAGGTTTCCCACTGATAAGTAACATTTGCAATTTTTTCATTTTAGACTGGGGTGCCTGAAGATTTGACATACTTTTAAAGGGTGCCTTGATCAAAAAAAGGTTGAAAACGGCGTTTTTTTAAGGCCCTTCCATCTGTGTCCAGCAGATGGCAGATTTGGGCCTAGCAGGCACAAGACACAAGGCTGGAAGGAACAGGCAGGCAGCAGCAGGGGGGTGGAGGATGCAGAGGGGGAGAGAAGCAGCAGCAGCAAAGATGGATGAGATGTGAGCTAAGCTGAATCTGGAACCCCCTGCAAGCATTTGTGAGCAGGAAGACTTGCCACCACATTAGGACTGCGGGCTGAGACCTGTGTGGTTGACAACCAGTAGATGAGATTGTGCACTGGCCGGGAGATCTGGCTGCAGACATCTGGATGCATGTGACAGCTGTCTGTTGCTCCCTCCTTTGTGTGATTCCCAGGAGGCTTGGAATCCTTGGATGCAGCTCTCTTCCTCAACGCTCTTCCCTTGCCATGGAGAAAAACATACCCAGCCTCCACATCCCCCTGACCTAAACCACTAGAGAACCCAGCTACCCATCCATCGACTTGCACCTTTAATTTACCCCCACTTTAATCCATTGCACCACTGCTGATACTGTATCATTTATTTATTTTTTAGCCAGATTTTTGCTGCCCTTTTTACATTTTGATATTTTTTTTTTATTATAATAATTGCCAAGGGATGTTTGGCTGTACGTGGGATTTGAACATGCAGATTTTTTGCTTCTCAACGTTTATGTCACGAGTCGTGCCTGATTGAGGATGCAAGATCCAGGCTTTGGGAGGAATTACACTGTGTTCTTTGATTAAAAAAAAAAAAACAACAGATTGCACAAGGGGAACGCGGCGAGGCAAAGAAAAACATATGCGATGGATAGGCTACACGGAGCTCCAGGCTCATCCTGGTAAGACGGACGCAGGCACCTGCCTTCAAACCCCAATGGAGAATTTTGACGGTGGTCTTGGCTGAGAAAAAAAAAGGAGAGGGTCCCGTATTTATCGTCGTACCAAATGTTCAGTTGGATTCATGCTTTTTATACCTGGGACTACAATGCCGCTGAGAAAACAAAAAAATGACCAAGTGTTTCTGTGAAATTTTTGTACAAATTTTTTGAAATTTTTTTTTTAAAAAATGACTCGAAATGTAGCAAGACTTTTATAATCCCTCACAGATTCGAAAGTGATCATGATGAAAGCATATTGCAGCTGGGGTAGCTGCGACCAGGTTTTCGGCGACTCTTGATCCTCAGTTGAGGCATGCGGCTTCCGAACGGTCTCTGGTAAAGTCAAGAAAAGTTTGCTATCTTCTGAGAAGTTTAAGAAAGCTCTCTCTGAAGCCCTACCAGGAAAGATGCCACGAAACCGGGCCTTTTCAGAGCCGGAGTACTCGGCGGAGTATTCGGCGGATTACTCAGTAAGCTTGCCTTCGGACCCGGATCATGGAGTCGGCCGGACGCATGAAGTCACGGTGCGGAGCTCAGGCTGCTGTCTCTGCTTGCCACGGTTTATGCGGCTTACCTTCGCGCCCGAGTCACTAGAAAATCTCTATCAAACCTATTTTCGCCGGCAACGTCACGAGACGCTTCTGGTTCTAGTGGTTTTCGCTGCCCTCTTTGACTGCTACGTGATCGTTATGTGCGCTGTGGTCTACACCCAAGACAAATTGGCTTCTACCTTGGTGGCGGCAGTTGGGCTCCTGGCCCATCTCTTGCTGTTCGTCCTATGCAAGTTTGGGCTGTTACCGGATCGTATTTCCCGAAAATTCGTCCCTTACATCTTGTGGATATTGATTGCCGCACAGATTTTCTCCTATCTGGGCCTCAATTTCGCCCACTTCCATGAAGCCAGCGACACGGTCGGTTGGCAAGCCTTCTTTGTGTTCTCGTTCTTCATCACCTTGCCCCTTCGCCTTACGCCCATTGTCCTGATCACCACCGTGTCCTGTGGAATACACACCCTGGTACTGGGAGTAACGATCGCCCAACAGCAGCAAGGATCCATGAATACTAACGCTCTGCTACGTCAGGTAAGTGCCAGACCTAAAATCCCAGTACTGACAGGTATAAAACCAAAACAGTCAAAAAGGTTCAAGACCATGGAAAAAGTTGTAAGGTATTTTACCACTTCCTGACCCCAATATGATTTTAAGGTATTATGTACACCTGACCTGTGCAATGAGAATATCAATAAAAGTGTGTGCCCAGTTAAAACTTTCTCCCTTAGTTTCTGATAGGGTTAAAGGATCTGAACCGCCCTATCAGGTTTTGCTGGTGCATACATGGCAGCATTCAGAATTGTTCATCGTATGCTGCCATGGATAGGAACCAGAAAAGAAAAATATATACGGTAAGTATTTGATACAATTTTCTGGTTTCATGGGGCCTACCTGGCAGGCCTAATAAGAAGCATTCTGTATGCTACCCTGGATAGGCACCAGGAAAAGAAAATTATGGTAAATATTTGATACACTTTTTCTGGTGTCTACATGGCAACATACAAGTAAACTTTCTGTATCCTGCCATAGATGACAGCCAGAAAAGTAAAATTGTGCAAAGTATTTGATACAGTTTCCAGTTTCCTGGCACCTAAATGGCAGTATGCTAGTAAGCATTCCGTATGCTGCCTTCGATAGGAACCAGGAAAGAAAATTACGGTAAGTTTTTGATACAGTTTTCTGGTTTCCTGAGGCCTATATGGCACCATACTACTAAGCCATTTGGCATGCTGCCATTGACAGGTACCAGGAAAGGAAAATTATGGTAAGTATTTGATACGATTTTTCTAGCGTCTACATGGCAACTTTAGCCTTAAGCCATTTCTGGCACTTTTTGTTTACATTTTAAAATCAGTATTTTTTGCTAGAAAATATCTTAGAACCCCCAAACATTCTATATTTTTTTTAAAAGCAGAGGCTCTAGATAACAATTTGATGGTTTTAGCATATTTGTTTGTGTCACACGGAATTTGCGCAGTGGTTTTTCAAACATGATTTTTGGGGAAAACTACACTTTTTAAAATTTTATTGCAAACAAATACAATACATAACCCAATTGTTTTGTAAAATATAAAAGATGTTACACTGAGTATATAGATACCAAAATTAAAATTGTGCACACCCATGCAACGTCGACAAACAGCATAAATTTTGCTATTCATAGGTGACGCTTTAAAAGCCTTTACAGGTTACTACTTTAGATCTACAGAGGAGGTCTAGTGCTAGAATTACTGCCCATGATCTGGCAATCATGGTGATACTTCGCATGTGTTGGACGATAAATGTTTGCTTGCGTTCGACTTTGTGCACAAGCACAGTGGGGCAGGGACAGTTTAATTTTTTTTTTCTTTTTTTTTACACTGTTACTTTAACTGCTTCCCACCCGCCATATAAGGTAATGACGGGCGCAAGGCAGTTCTCTCGTTCTAGGAGGATGTCATATGATGTCCTCCCATTCTAACCACGCATGCGCGGCTCTGGGAGCGCGCAGCTCGGCAATCTGTGGTGCGCTGTGTCCCTCGGACACAGCGGATCACCGATCAATGGAAAGAGCCAAAGATCTCGGCTTTGTCATGTGATCAGCTGTGTCCAATCACAGCTGATCGCATGTAAATAGGGAAATGCCGGTTATCAGGAGAGCTGGTAATCGGCATCCCTCGGAGGGGACATGTACACTGATCATCAGGGCACTGATGATCAGTGTTCCCTGATGATCAGTGTAGCCCCAGCAGTGTCACCTGTCAGTGTCCATCAATGTCTCATATCAGTGCCTACCAGTGCACATCAATGCCACATATCAGTGCCCATCTGAGCTGCCTGTCAGTGTCACCTATCAGTGCCAGTCAGTGCTGCCTTTCAGTGCCCATCAGTGATGCTTATCAATGCCCATCAGTGCCACCTACTAGTGCCTCCTCATCAGTGCAGCCTATCAGTGCCCATCACTGCAGCCTCAGTAGCGCACATCTGTGAAGGAGAAAAATCACTTATTTACAAAATTTTATAACAAAAACTAAGAAAAAACATTTTTTTTTTCCAAGATTTTCAATTGTTTTTGGTTTGTTTAGCAAAAAATAAAAAACCCAGAGGTGATTAAATACCACCAAAATAAAGCTCTATCTGTCACAAAAAAAATGATAAAAATTTTATATGGGTACAGTGTTGCATGACCGCGCAATTGTCATTCAAAGTGCGACAGTGCTGAAAGCTGGCCTGGGCAGGAAGGGGGTATAAGTGCCCTGTAGGCAAGTGGTTAAATAGTTTTTTTTATCACATTTATTGCTGTCACAAAGTATGTAAACATGCACGTGACAGCAATAGACACATGACAGGGCCCTCCTAATCCTCTTGTATTGAACTGTATTGTTGCTGTATTGTCTCCAGTTATATTGTAAAGTACTGAGCAAACTGTTGGCGCTATATAAATCCTGTACAATAATAATGACAGGTAGTTTTATGTAGAGATCTGAGGTGTATGAGACCCCAAATCCCTCCTCTGCACTTGAAGGTTTTCAAAACACCAAGATCCGTGTTTTTGAATGCTTTCAGATTTTTAAAAATTGCTCCGAAAGTTTCTGACTAAACTGGAAGTAATGTCAGGTCACCGATTTCCAGTTTACCATAAAGGAAAGCCGATCTAGCTTTGTTCGGCTGTCCGGCCAGCTGTCAGATGCGCCGGCTGGTCGCTCGGGTCCTCCTGTGGGACGGGAGATCCTGAGAAAGTGTTGCGGGGGGGACATCCCATCCCATCCCGCTGCTTGTACAAGCAATCGAGCGGCTAGTAGTCGCTCCGATTGCTTGTACAAGAGAAACAACCACCGGCTCTAAAAAATGGTACCGGGGTGAAAAGTCCAGTAACGTACGGGTACGTTGCTGGTCCAGAAGTGGTTAAGCATTCCATATGTTGCAATGGATGTAAATTGTGGCAACATAACAGTAAGTATTCCATATGCTGCCATGGATAAGAACCAGGAAAGTAAAATAACAGTAAGTATATGATACAATTTTCCAGTTCCTCAATAACAGCATACTAGTAAGCTCGTGCCTCAATAACAGCATACTAGTAAGCATTCTATATATTACCTTGGATAGGCACCGGAAAAAAAAATTACGGTAATTATTTGATACAATTTTTGCAGTGTCTACATGGCAACTTACAAGTAAGTATTCTGTATGCTGCCATGGATAAGAACCAGGAAAGTAAAATTACGGTAAGCAGTTGAAACAATTTTATGGTTTCCTGGGGGCCTACATGGCAGCATACTAGTGAGCATTCAGTATACTGCCCTGGGTAGGCCTGCAAAGGAAAATTATGGCATGGACAGAGGTCAGACAAAAAAAATGGAAACACTACATGATTTGCAGGTGTGAAAGTGACAACATGTTTAGTGTTGAAGCGATGTAGCATACTTTTGCTTCCACTGTGTGATGAGACACCTAGCTAACAGGTGGGAAGCCTCACTTTCGTCATTCACTGTGTGCACCACTAGTGATACAGAGTCCTGTCAGAGCTTACTGAGCTTCAAAGAGGGAAAATTGTTGGTGCCACTTAGCTGGTGTCTCTGTGATTGAATTTGGCAATTTATTTGTCGTGTCGTGAGGTACAGTATCAAAGGTTATGGTGGCATATACAGTTTCCAGTAAATCGTCTGATAAGCATGGTGGATATGGTCAACTGACCGAAAGAGACAAAAGGACCTTGCGCAGGATTGTGACCCGGTATAAGAAAACAACTGCTGCAAAAGTGACTGCAGAGCTCAATCTCAGTATTCACGGGACTCAGTCTTCATAGGACTGAGATTGAGGTCTGCAGTCACTTTTGCAGCAGTTGTTTTCTTATTCCGGGTCACAATCCTGCACAATGTTCTTTTGTCTCTTTCGGTCAGTTGACCATGTCCACCATGCTTATGCTTATCAGACAACGTTTTCCTGGAAAATGTATATGCCATCATAATCTTTGATACGGTATCTCGCAACTCCACAAATAAATTGGCAACTTCAATCACAGAGGCACCAGCTAAGCGGCACCAACAATTTGCCCTCTCTGAAACTCAGTAAGCTCTGACATGACTCTGTATTACTAGCAGCGCACACAGTGAATGACGAAAGTGAGGCTTCCCACCTGTTAGCTAGGTGTCTCATCATACAGCGGAAGCAAAAGTATGCTACAATGCTTCTGCTTTCAACAGTAAACATGTTGTCACTTTCACACCTGCAAATCATGTAGTGTTTCCATTTTTTTTGTCTAACCCCTATATTTGATACAATCTTCCCGAAGTCTTCATGGCAACGTAATGTTAAGCATCCCATATACTGCCATGGATAGGTGCTTGGAAATTGTGGTAAGTTTTTTGTACAATGTTCCTGGCAGGGGCAGACTGACAACTCATGGGGCACCCGGGCAATAGGGGATCATGGGGCCCCTGTGTCCTTGCCCAAACTCAAAAAAGCCTATAAAAAAGGTACCAGGGGCATCTCATGGGGCCCCCTACTGACCCCGGGCCCTCGGGCAGTGCCCGAGTTTCCAAATGGTTACACCGCCCCTGGTTCCTGGTGCCTACATGACAACATACTGACAAGCATTCCATATTCTGCTGTGGATAGGAACCAAGAAAGGAAAATTACAGTATTTGATACTTCTTTCTGGTTTCCTTGTGCCTACATGGAGGCGTACTAGTAAGCATTCCATATGCTACTCTGAATAGGCACGGGAAAGGAAAATTATGATAGGTTTTTTTTCTGCAACTTACTGGTAAGGTTTCCATATGCTGCCATGGATAAGAACCCCGCTGAAACAACCACATGGTTGTACCAAAAAGAAAGCAGCTCAAGCCCTCAAAGGGTTCCACATCCACCAACCACTGTCGGGTTTAGCATTCTGTATGCTGCCATGGATAGGAACCAAGTAAGAAAAATTATGGCAAGCATTTAATAGGTTTCTTGGTGCCTACATGGCATCATACTAGTAAGTGATCCATACGTTGCCATTGATATTAACCAGTAAAAGAAAATTACAATGAGAATTTGATACAATTCCCTGGTGCCTACATAGCAGCATACTAATAAGTGTTTCATATGTTGCCATGGATAGGCAACAGGAAAGGAAAATTATGGTAAGTGTTTGATACAATTTTCCAGGTTTATTGATATCTACAGCTTTGCTAAAGAGAGTTCTCCTCCTCTCCCCTTCCTGTTAATGCTTTATCAGACAGGAAGTGAAAGTAACTTTCCATACCGACAAAACTTAACAATGCGTTTGGGAGGACTAGAACCATTTTATTGTTGCAGATTGTCTCTTCCTGTCTGGTAAAACCATGGCCATCAGGACAGAAAGTGGTTGAAAAGCTTTCTACTGCAGCCCCCGAAAGAAGTGAAAAACCAGACAGGGGTTTTGATCCTTCCCCACTCTTTCCAAAATGAAAAAAACAAATAGTTTTTGGCTTGACATTGCAGCAGAGAACTGGGAATGCACACATGTGCACGTTCCTCGTCCTCAGACTAGTGAAGTTAAGTGTCACTGCTGAATCTGGTCTGGGCACCAAAGCTTTGTAATTGGGAAATATTGCATCTTCACTTTTTCAAAAACAATCAACAATCTTGTTTCATTTGCACCTTTATGGAACTAGCTAGAAGTTTTTAGAACATACAAGGGTTTTGATCTTCAGAAGTTTTAAGACAAATTCCTTCACGCTAATGATATGGTATAGGAGCTATATATCTTGTACTGAACTGGCATTTAAGAGGGACCCAAGCCATGATTCCAAGACTAGACCTGCAAGACTTCTTATAACTTGGCAGAATAAATATTGGCCATCTTTATTATTTGAGGGTGGCTCCATGGTTAGAAGGTACCTTAAGCCTAGTTGCTGCGCTGTTGGTTGCACAACCTCAAAAAATGAAGAAATTAAAAAATATTGCAGGTGTCACCAGAACAGGAATAAAGGGAATATCTTTCCATGGGGACACCTACTCCAGTGATAACTCTCCAAAGTAGGATTTGTCCTCACTTTGGAGAGATTTCTTTCACTTCCTGTTGTGACTCAGAAACAGGAAGTGAAAGGAAATCTTCCCAAAAAGACATAACTTGATAAGTGTTTTAAACATTTCCCATTCTATCCAAAAATAATATGTTTTATTCGCAGATATACTTTCCCTTCCGATTGCTGAATCTCATCGCATAAATTGAATAAGAATACTCTATTTTTGAATATAATACTCAATATAACAAAATCGAAAGAAGAATGTCCTTTTAATTAGTGATCAGTTTGAAGAATCCCTTACATTGGTGATTTTGGGGATTGCCCCTTACATTGGTCATTGTTCTGTACATTGGTTCTGGGAAGAATGTCCCTTTGTAATCAGTGGGAAGAATGCTCCTTACAGCGCAGTGGGAGCGAATGCTCCTTACTATTGGCGCTTTATAAATGCTCCTTACATTGGTGATAGTGGGAATAATGTCCCTTACATTGGTGAATAATACATATCATAATGTTCCTAACAAAATTGGTGAAGTGGGAAGAATGTCCCTTACATTGGTGATCAGTGGAAGAATGCTCCTTACATTGGTGATCAGTGGGAAGAATGCTCCTTACATTGGTGATCAGTGGGAAGAATGTTCCTTACATTGGTGATCAGTGGGAAGAATGTTCCTTACATTGGTGATCAGTGGAAGAATGTTCCTTACATTGGTGATCAGTAGGAAGAATGTCCCTTACATTGGTGATCAGTGGGAAGAATGTCTCCTTATATTGGTGGTCAGTGGGAAGAATGTCCCTTACATTGGTGATCAGTGGGAAGAATGTCCCTTACATTGGTGATCAGTGGGAAGAATGTCCTTACATTGGTGATCAGTGGGAAGAATGTCCCTTCCATTGGTGATCAGTGGGAAGAATGTTCCT